TATTTACATGATTACCGCATGATATTTCTTCTTTAGATGTACTTGAGTCTATAAGTACTAAGAATGTAATTTAGAAAAATATATTGCCTGACTTTGTGTTTTCTCTTACGTACAAGGTTTTAACTTAAGTTATCAGGTTAGCCAAACCTTTTTCTTACAGCAGATATATATTATCAATTATAATCTGTTAATGTAGGATGAATAACCATTCCATTCTATTAAAAAATGTTAAACGTGTTTCCCTCAATGTTGCAATCCTCTATTCACCTGGAGTTAAAATCCTTCACCATCAAAAGCTTGTCAAAAGCTAGAAATTTTCCAGAAACAAAATCATTCAAACTAGGAAAGGAATCAGACTTTATATATTGTAAGACTGGAGGTAATCACATGTGAAGTAACCACATGTAAAATAAAGCACCATTGAGTTCTTTAGAGTTTTTGAATCAACGACTTGTGCTTGCATATTATGCTGTTCTTATAATTTGGAATGCATTTTGATTTAGTTAGCTGATATGTCTAAGCTTCAAGAACTTACACCTTTATCGTCCTGAACTTAGCTTATGAAGTAATTGTGGAGCCTATTTAGCTATCATCCAACTTTGTGGATCTTAGTTGTGATTTTTCATTTTGTTCTGGAAAGATATGCAAGAATGTCCTCTTTCTCCGTTATTTCATTATTAAGGTTACTTGGTTTTATCTTCATCGTTGTGATCTCTTAAAATGTTCTGTGTGTTTCAGGCAACAACAGATCACTATGCTATTGGTTTAAAGATATTGAATCAGCTTGTTAGCGAGATGAATCAGGTCTGGTGTTTCTAATTCTGTCTTAGTAGTAGTACTATCTATTTTTCAAAGGAGGTTTAGATAGGGATTATTTACTCCAGGGATATCTATTGTATTTCTCTTATGCTTCCATTTAGCATGAAATCACTGGTATGGTTGTACATTGTCCGGTATACAAAAAAGTAAACTGGTATCTCTTATTTGCTTCTCATTGGTAAAGCTTCAATTATATTTCCCTTGCCCTCTTCTGGATAGTTATCTGTGTCCCCTGAATGTTGTTTGGGTCTTCTGAAATTTCTATTTACAGCCGAATCCTGGTTTGCCTTCATCACATCACAGAAGGGTAGCCTGTAATTTCAGGGATCAATGCCTTTACCAAATTTTTCAGATATCTTTAACATCATTACATCAGCTTAAAAACGATGGTAGGTTCTTTATATTGTGGTTTTTTCGGTGACATTGTGATTGTATCTGTTTGGACAATGGTTATACTAAGTTTTGAGACATGCAGCCATCAGCAGGTTGCAAGAATTGGCTTTATCACTGGCATTGAAATGCCTGTCTTTTGATTTTGTTGGGACATCTATTGATGAAAGCTCTGATGAATTCGGGACTGTCCAGGTAATTCTTGGTTACCGTGAAATGGAAATGGTTGGAAATAGAGGTTGTCAATGAATAGTCTTCGTATGTCATTTTGGAGCACTATTGTAGTAGATAATGTGTGTATTAGCGTATGTGTTTGTATTTTGAATTATATTTCATATACGTTTGCTTACTAATGTTGCTTGGCAAGGTTCATATTGAGTGACATAGTTCGTTTTACAGATTCCATCTTCTTGGAAGCCTATGTTAGAGGATTTTTCAACTCTACAGATATTTTTTGACTTTTATGCACTCACCAAGCCCCCTATCTCCAAGGAGGTTAGTTATTTCATAACATCTTTATCTGTATGTCATGCATTTCGTGGCACTTTCTTAGTTTTTCCTCGTTTATAATCATCGTCATCTGGATCATTATTTTAGGTTCTCCATTTGATATTTAATTGACTTCTTTGTGTTAGCTTAGATGCTACTTATCAAAAAATATATATAATTTTTTTGTTCGTGTATGAAAAAGAAAAGATATAATAATCAGCATTTGAGATGCACATGGTTTCAATTGAATATTAAATTGTGGAACAAACTCTGACTCTGTTGTTTTTTCCAGGCATTTTAGTAATGTTTCTATGGTATGTTCATTTGTGTATACCTGATCAATTTCATATTTAATTTTCGGACAAAATTTCAATCCTTTGAGCTTTCACGTAAAAAAGCATATTTTTATTTTTCCTTTCCATCGTGCTCTAGTTATTCTTGTTTTATTCTTTTGCCGGTATTATCGTCCTCCTTCAGACTGTAGACAATATTGTCTTTCAAAAAACTCTTCAATTATTGTTTTTGTTTGGGATATGCTGCTGCGCGGTTTTACCTAATCATCTATATTTCTCATCGGGAGATGTTTTGGATTTTTACTTTTTAGTACTGATAACAAGAGAGAATACACCTTGTTTGGCTTTTTACAACTATTTTGTCACAAAATCTTGTACTTTTGAGAAACCAAAGGAGAATATACATCATAAGCAGATATATGAAGATGCAGGAGCTAAGTTTTAAGAGGCTTATGATAAAATTAAGTCACCCACATTCATATGGTTGAGATGATTTTATTTTCTTCATCTTTGTTTTAATAATAATATTACATGTAGACTTATTATGTTTTACAAATATTTGATATGGGAATATTCCGTTACCATGGATTTAATAACTTTCTTCACACATCCCTATTGATATGCTTCCCAGATGTTTGGCGAATATATGGTAATAAATTTTTGCACACTTCAAAATCTTCAATTGAATTTGCATTCTTTTTCTTTTATTTGACAGTGGATCAATGCCTAGTTAACAATGTTTCTTTTATTTGGTAATTGAGTTAACAATGTTTTATTTGATATTTTTTCTTTTATATTCATTTATTTGATAATTGAGTTAACTAACACCATATATATGCTATTTTTTTATATTCTTTTATTTGATAATTGAGTTAACAATGTTTCCAAATTTTTGGCGAATGTATGGTAACAAATCTTCACACTCCAAATATTCAATTGAATTTGTAACGGGATTCTAATTCTAATGAGATTTCTTCCATATACTACAATACTAAACTCTTTTGTTTTTTTTTGTTTTTTTTTTTCAAACTATTTTTTCATGCACCCGTGTAGTACACGGGTGTCGTACTAGTAAATATTATCCCGGGATACATATATTATCTCGAAATTTAAATTTCAATATAAAACTTTCACTGACTGCAATCGAATATATAGATATTATCAACTATTTAAATTTGAATTTGAATGATCATCCGTGTTTTATGTGTGTTATATGAATATATATATTATCCTGTAATTTAAATTTGAATATAGAACTTTCAAAAATTGTAAGTTTACTATGCAAAATCAAACATTTGCAGATAAAGAGAAAAGATCCTCATCCATACATTAATTGCAAAGTGATAAAAGGTGATGAGATAGATCTGGCGAATATTTGAAGAAATATTTATTAGTAACCTTTAAAATTTGAATTTTGAAAAAGGATTGTATGCGGTCATGTTTTTAGGAGACTAATTTAAGAGATAATACGAATTTGTCACCCCAAAACTGGCCTAAAATTATGTGTCAATTGCAGGGTAATTTTAAAATTGTACAAAAAAGTTTCTATATATAGAAAAAGTTATAATTTTAGGCGGGACTTTTTCCTTTACCCTTTTATTTTTATATATTAATAGATATGTTATTCAATATACTCTCCTCGTTTTATGCTTTGCTTTACGTGATCTCTTTAACTCTTTAACCCCTTCAGGCTACCTGAAGCAAGACATCACATAAATAGGCTTACGAGCTCACTGCAGAATTCAAAAGACCCTCTTTCCGAATGTTATTTTTCCAGATTTGAATATTGTTCCTAGCTGCCCCCACAAATGAAATTGGAAACCTTATACTTACTCCTCCCAACCACCATAGGTAGACCCAAGTACTCAGCATTATGTTGGACTTAAATACAACCCCCCCACCCCGCTAAAAAAAAATACAGCAAATACCCCCTAATATTCTCAGGGCATTCTGCTAAATAAACAAGAGGATTTATCGAAATTCACACTTTGCCTGAGTTATAACAATACCTATCCGAAATCTGTTTAAGAACCACAGCATGACTCCAATCAGCTTTGCTAGATAGAAGAGAGTCGTCTGCGAAGAATACATGAGTGGTTTCTTGATCTTTAATGTAAATTTCAATCCACGATGTTTCCATTCAGAGACAATTGTTTAATGACGTTGGAAAAAGCTTTTGAGGTCGGAAAAAGCTTCTGGATGATGGACAAATAAGGAGTGGGTCACCCTGCCTCAAACCTCTTGAAGGAGTAATATATCCACAGGGTTGTTCATTGACAATGAAAGAAAAGGATGATGTACTCGCACAATTCACAACCCAGTTGACAAAGGATTGGTCAAAATTTATTTTTATTAAGATAGACACTAACAAGTGATATTACACTCTGTCGTCATATGCTTTTGCTATATCCAATTTAATTTGCTATCAACCTGTCTTTCCTGTATCTACAATTGTTTAAGAATTAAGAAGTGTATACACCGATTAGGAATCACGACAATGTCTAGAATTTGTCTCCCTGGGATGAAACCAATTTGATTCTCACTAATGCACACATGTGATATTGTCTAAAGTGACTGGGATTGTGAATTTTGGGGATCAAAGAGACGAGTGTGGCTTACACAAGAAGGCATCCTGCAAGAACTGAAAAAACTTTTGATCTCAGCACACAGTTCTGTATGAATCTTAGACTAGAAAAATTGAATAAACAAGACTGACATAGTGACATGCCATCAATACCTGGAGCTTTATTAGGGTGAAGGTCAAACAGAAGTATTTTAATCTCTTCTTCCTTCACTGTAGTGGTCAAGAACTGATTCATTGAACTTGTGATGGAGCAAGGAATCCCATTCAGAGTAGGGAGTCCATCTCTGGTGCAGAAAACTGAAACAAATACTTACAGTTTTCCATGATCATAAAGAGCATCCTTTCTGTATAGTCTATCTAAAGCATTTTCTTCTTCTCTCCATAGTACAAAGAGTGAAAAACTTTGGTGTTTTTCTAACCTTTTTTTCTTAATCACTGCACTCAAGCTTTTTCTTTCCAGAAAATTTTCTCCTCATAAGCTTCTGCTGCCAGTCTCTAACTTTTCCTTAGTTAACAGCTCCATTTCTGATTTGCACCTGTGTATGGTTTTAGATGAATTGGCTCGTCTGTTTCTTCCATTTCAGTAGTTCAATTTTGCAGTTTTTTATTCTATTTGGTACTTTGAATAGAGGATACCCAAAGACCACTGTTTTCCATATCTCCGCCACCTTATCAGTTCTCTCCATCTTAGTCCATCTTCTATAAAAAAAGAAAGGATTTGAAGGATCTGCCGAGCAAATTAATTTCGGACTGAAAGTAGGATCTGTCGGGGCAGGCTGGCCCATCGTATCGGAATTATAAAAAAATAATATAGCAGCTATCTACTTGAGGCTGAAGAAAATATTTCCAAAGAGAATCTTCTAAATAGCAAAAGGTGATTCTCTGGTTGACAATGGAGATAAAAACTGTAGTTACCTGTTGTTTCAGTCCTTGCTCCAAAATTTTTCCTTCTAGAAGATGCGATGCGATAATCTTTACATGTGGATTTCAGATGGTTTTGTTAGTGAGTTGGCCAAAAAACACTTTCAGACACTGCTCTTAGCAACGAGATATGAGCCAAAAATAAAACCCTACAACTGAAATCCCAAATTATTGAGCCCGTAAAAAATTAGTTGAAGCTTATATCACCGCTTCAGTCCAGACCCGCCATTGTAATCACTGTAGACCCCTCGACTAAAACCGAAATCCCTTCTTATCCCCCAAACCTCCACCAATCAGATTTCGTCCCGTATTTCGAAAGCATGATTTCTCTCTAAACAGTTCTATTCGCCGCCTCCTAGTTTTTTCGGAAAATTGTGGCTCATCTCCGCCACATCTCCATCGCCGGATTTTCTGGCTGCTGTGAATGAGATGTTGCTGAGAGAAAAAGAAGAAGAGAGAACGATGTTCTGATGGAGAAAAGAAGCGGACCTCTCAGACCATTCCATTTCGTATAGCAGGCTTTCTCAAATCCCTAAATGGGCCAAACCACCTAACCCGCGGCCTGTGGATTGTGCGTGCTGGGTGGGCTTTTTGTAAGCATGCTCCGCAGTGCCAAATTGCGGGTTTTGATGGGCCCCACAAGCCGGCCCATCCCACCGGCCCATTTTGACATGCATACTGCCTACTATGGGTATTCTGGAGAAGAAAGATGTAATACTTTCCATTTAGGAGTAGGTGGACACTAACATGCGATTGATATAGATTAATTGGTAAAAAATTGCTTGGTTGGAGAAAGTGAGTTAAAGAGTTGGAAAAGAAATTTGGTGGAAAGATTTATTTTTGAGTTTGTGAATGGATATGATATACAATGCAATGGTTGATGTGATATGAAAATAGCAAAATAATGATTGTAAATAATTGGTAGTTAACAATTCGTGAGTGGATGAATGGTGAATTTTGTTGGAAGGTGTAGTGATGATTGATTTTATTTTTAATTTGTGTTGATAAGATTGAGAAGAAAAGAATAGGGTTAAATGAAAAGTAAATATTTTGGAATAAATGTATATCCAATCACATGTTTAGTGAATAAAATTTATCCGGTGAGACGAAACAGGATATAGTCTATATCCTATCTCTAAGTCGATAAAGAAGTTGAATTTCAAAATTCTAATTTATGTTGCTCTTGTTACAGTTATGGATGAAGTTTTCATATGCTCTTAAATGCTAACGTTCTACACATATTATATACATTCCAGTCACTGGAGTGCTTGGTGCGACTTGCTTCAGTGAGACGCTCTCTTTTCACCAATGATGCCACACGTTCTAAGTTCTTGGACCATCTAATGTCAGGAACCAAAGAAATTTTGCGAACAGGGCAAGGTATATAATTTCTGTTATTATTTCGTCTTCAATTTCCACTGCAGTTTTCCTTTCATCATGGAATCCTTTGGATTTTTCATGAGACCTGCTATCTCTTATCTTGAATATGCTGAACTGGGAGTAGGTCTTGCCGACCATGATAACTACCATGAGTTTTGTCGCTTACTTGGACGATTCAGAGTTAGTTATCAGGTATAACATTTATAACTAACTGATGTGGTCTTTGCATAATGCTATTTCTGTGGAGCTGCAGTCGCGTGTGTAACTAGTTACACAATGTTCTCTCATATCTGCTAAATAGTATCGAACCTTCCTTTTCGATGAGAAAATGTTTTCATGCTCCGTGTAGCTATATTTAGTATAACATGTAATACCTTGATGTTTGTTCATTAGTTTTAATGGTACACGAGATTGCATAAGGTAAGGTTTAGTACCGTGAGGTTCCAGTTTGTTAAATAAATTGAAGGGCTATTTACAGAATCTTCAATCACTGTTGCAGGGCATATCAGTCAAGAAATGCCCTTAAGTTGGGGACTTGCATCATTGTTAAATGTAGTAAAATTTGTTACTTGCATTTTTATGAGACAAGATCTGGATAATAAAATTTGTGCAAACTGCTGTTTTATATATTGTGATCGCCAGATATAATGATCTGTATTTCCATCTTTACCTTTTCTCCTGATAATTGCTAGTTGTTGCTCGAAGTTATAGTTTGCATGTCCTTACCTTTCTTAAATGATTTTTCACAAGACATAAGATCCTAGGAAGTTTTAGTTTATTTAATAATATGGTTGACATTCTGATGCAGTTGTCTGAACTCGTAACCATGGAAGGCTATGGAGATTGGATACGTTTAGTTGCCGAGTTCACTTCAAAATCTTTGCTGTCCTGGCAGGTAAGTGGCTTGAAATATTTTCTAAAACTTTTGGATATTATCTTTAGATTATGCGTTTTCCTCTTTGTCTGCTGTTAGTTAAGTGGTGGAATGATATATATGTATGTGAAAGGGCTGAATAAGACTATTTTGCAGTGGGCTAGCAGCAGTGTCTATTATCTTTTAGGTTTATGGTCTAGGTTGGTGAGCTCTGTACCATACCTGAAAGGTGACGCTCCGAGTTTGCTTGACGAATTTGTGCCTAAAATTACCGAAGGTTTTATTTCTTCAAGATTGGATTCTGCTCAGGTTTGGTTCTTACCAATGATTATTTGAAGGCCAAAACAGGGTATAGCTCTATGAACCTATCTTGTTTTGCAGGCTGGCCTGCCTGATGATATATCAGAGCACCCACTGGACAGTGTTGATCTTCTTCAAGATCAACTGGATTCTTTTCCACATCTTTGTCGATTTCAGGTTAAATTTGACTTTTACGGGTTTGGTTTGGTTTTACCGTGTCCTCATTAAACTTCTTATAAATTTGTCTTATTTTTTGATTAACCTATATAAGCTTATTGTTTCAGTATGAAAAGAGTAGCTTGTTCATTATCAATATCATGGAGCCTATTATACAAATTTACATGGTAAGCTGCAATTCTTCCAGAGACGAAATTCTCCTTTGTTGCCTTTTCTTAGGAACTCGTGTTTCTGAGCAGAAGGATACAGTTTCAAACTTTTCTGTTTTCAATAGGAAAGGGCACAGCTTCAGACTGGTGATAAAAGTGAACTTCCTATCTTGGAAGCTAAACTTGCTTGGATGGTACATATAATTGCTGCAGTTTTGAAAAATAGGCAATCTGTTGGCTGCAGGTATCTGCTGCTGCTGCTGCTGCTACTACTAGGACTATTGTCTTCATGAACATCATCATCATCATTATTATTATTATTATTATTATTATTATTATTGTTACGAATTTCTTGCTTCAGCATGTTGGTATGCTAGAAGGATCATTAATATGTTTGTGCATGACTCACAGTGCCGAATCACAAGAAGTAATTGATGCCGAACTTTCAGCTCGTGTTTTACGTCTAGTAAATGTTGCTGATAGTGGGTTGCACAATCAGGTAATCCAGTGGAATCATTAGAACAAATATTGCTTTACCTTTTTGGTTAACCAATAACCACGAAGCAAAAGATGTTGACACGTGTTTATGGTTAAAAATCTAAGCTGAATGATCCGAGTACCTAGTAAAAATTTTAAATACTTGGAAATCATTCCCACAATTGGTAGTACAAAATAAACAATTAGATGCATAGGAAATTAAAACTCATTATTGCAAAAAAATTAAAACTCATTAATGCAAAATCAAGACAATGGTAGAGTTGATCTTAGTAAAGACTAAAGATAAGCCTGAGGTGGATGATGGTTCATTTTTACTTGTAGATAATAACTCTGACCAATATGAATGGCCGTTTCCCCTTTTTTGTAGCTCTTGTGGTAACTTGGATGTTGTGCCGATATCCGAGGGAGAGCTTTTACATTATTGCATGGCTAAGAAACAGAATTTAGAATATTAAATTTTTACTGCTATTAGTGAACCTGGTTATATATACTCAATACTCAATTTTATTGCAAGTGACGGTGCATTAAAAGGAAATGGTGTTGAAAGGCACTACACTTTTATGTAAGTATGCACTTGATGGTATCTTTATCTACTTTCTTTGAGGTTCTTAAAATTGTTGAAAGCATAATCTTCGATCCCAATTACGAATAAAATAAAAAAAATCCTTTTATCAGTGTTGCATATGAGGGTTCTGATATTGATAGAATTTTCTTCATGTGTTGGGGCCTCTTTCCTGTGGTTGTAGGATCAGTTGTCCAACATCATATGTTGTAATTTAAACTTGCATTCATTTAGGGCTTAAAATTCTTACTTCAGATAAACATACATCATAGATTCATAGCTAAAAATGAAATGCAGATATAATTTTTGAAATTTTCCTAGTCACAGAAAACATATTAGAGGGTTCCTGACATACGAAAAGTAACTTGGTTTCTCAGACTAGAGTATTTTCACACTTTTGTTGGCCTGCCTGACCCAACTTAAACGAAGTAGCCCAGGGTAACCTTCTCTGGAAGCTTTTGCAAGCATATCATGTATTTGAAGCTACAGAGAATACTTTTACTAGAAATAACTCTGAATATCAAAGATGTTTTCTCATTTTGGCTGTTTTCTGATTATGTCTCCTATGTGTGTTATGTGTTCTTTTAAAAAAAAAAAATACAAAAATCAGAATAGTATAATCAATTAGTACTTGCTATGTAGAGTTCTTTTTCGTTTTCAAGCTGACAACATACTTCAGGTTCGGCAAACTTTGGTGGCTGAACTTTAGGGGACTACTTCTGATGTATGATGTTCAGATTTGGGACGACACTGAAATATACCTTTTGTATCCTTTGCACCTGTCAGAGATATGGTGAACTGAGCAAGCAAAGACTTGATCGAGCAATTCTGACATTTTTCCAGAACTTTAGGAGGTCTTACGTGGGTGACCAAGCTATGCATTCATCAAAGGTAATCAAATTGATGATTTATTTTATTCATGATGATCTTTTTTCCTCCTTCTTTGATTGTGCTGGTTGTTCTCTATTTGTTGCAGCAGTTGTATGCCCGGTTGTCTGAACTTATTGGACTTAATGATCATCTATTGCTTTTGGACTTTGTTGTTCGAAAAATTGCCACAAACCTCAAGTGTTATACAAAGGTTATTTCTTGTTTTTCCCACTCTCCTCTTATGCATTGCTATTTCTTCTCTATCTGGATCTCATTTCTTTACTATCAGAGTGAGGAAGTTATCGACCAAACATTGAGTCTGTTCTTGGAGCTGGCATCTGGGTTAGTTTTTTATTTTCTTAAATAAATAAAATGCTGCAGTTTTTCTTTTCTTTTGTAATCTTTTGTTACAGCAATTTAATTTTCTTGCAGTTATATGACTGGAAAGTTACTTCTCAAGTTAGACACTGTCAAGTTTATTGTTGCTCATCACACTGTAAGATATGCCTCTTTGGTTTCTGTCAGTGTTATTGGTTCGCTAAGTGACGAAGCTATTTACTCATGCCTATTGTTTTTAGCCTTATGTCTATTTTTAATTTCAAAATTCAGAGGGAGCATTTTCCATTTCTTGAAGAGTATAGCTGCTCTAGGAGCAGAACAACGTTCTACTATACTATTGGCTGGCTAATATTTCTTGAAGACAGTGCAGCCGTCTTTAAGTCTTCAATGGATCCTTTGCTGCAGGTATACTGCTTGTTTTCACCCTGTGCTCTCTTTCTCTCTCACCACACGCTCACATTTGTAGTATGATCACATTTGTATTTAATTTGTAGTATGATCACATATAGGAATGCGTATTTTTTTTAGGATTCATGTTTGTTGTCAAATCGTATTGTTTTCTTGAACTGAAACTTGCTTTGAAGAATTTATAGAGCATTAATTTTTGTGGGCCTCATAATTTATGGATATTCTTTTGCAAAGAACTTGTAAAGG